CCTGTCGCCGCAGGTACCACAACGGGACGCTGCTGCAGGGGAGCGCTGAGCGCAGCCGCGGCCGCCTGGCGCTGCGGGGGCTGGCACCGGAGCAGGCTGGCACCTACCACTGCAAGGCCAGCTCCGAGGCGGGCGCCATCCGCTCGGCGCCCGCACAGCTCACCGTGCTGGGTGAGCGAGCGCGGGGGGCGCCTCGGGGGCGGCGGGACCCCCGCCCCGTGCCCCTCTGATGCCGCCGCTCCGTGCCCCCAGCCCAGGGCCAGCAGAGCTGCCGGCCGGAGCCGGAGCCCAGCCTGGTGGAGCTGCCCAGCGAGTGCCCGCAGGACGCCAGCGGCTCCCGCTACTACAACGTGGGGCGCTGCCCGGGCTCGCCGTGCCCCGGCGGCCCCGCGGAGGCCTCGGGGTGCGGCGGCGGGCCGGGGCGCTGCTGCGGGGTGCGCAGGATGGAGCTGCGGCGGGTGCCGTGCGCCGGCGCCGCGCTGCCGCTCAAGGTGGTGGCCGAGTGCGGCTGCGGGCCCTGCGCCCGGCCCCGCGCGCTGGTGCAGGGCCGGGTGACGGCGGCCGACACCGGGGAGCCGCTGCGCTTCGGCCACATCTTCCTGGGGGCCACGAAGGTGGGCTTCACCGGCTACCGGGGCTCCTTCACCATCGAGGTGCCGCCCGGCACGCGGCGCCTGGTGGCTCGCTTCGTGGACGGCCGGCAGCGCTTGGTGGACGCCGTCAAGGTGCTGCCCTTCGACCGGCGCGGAGGAGCCGTGTACCACGAGGTGAAGATGCTGCGCAAGAAGGAGCCGGTGGAGCTGGACGGCGGCCGGAGCAACGCCATCCCGCTGGGGGAGGCCGGCGGCCGCGAGCCCGTCGGGGAGCTGCTGCTGCCGGCCGGGGCCTTCCTGCGGCCGTCCGGGGAGGTCTTCAACGGCACGGTCAAGGCCAGCGTCACCTTCGTGGACCCCCGGGACGTGGCCACGGCCGGCGCCGCCTCCAGCGACCTGAGCTTCGCCGACGCCGAGGGGGAGATCGTCCCCCTGCGCACCTACGGCATGTTCGCCGTGGATTTCCGCGAAGGCGACGGCGGCGCGGCGCTGCAGGCGGGGCCGGTGCAGGTGAGGATGGACGCGGCGCAGGTGCGGGTGCCCGAGCACCTGCAGAAGATGAAGCTGTGGTCCCTGAACCCCGAGAGCGGCCTGTGGGAGGAGGAGGGGGTGCTGCGGCCGGCCGGGGGCGGCCGGGGCAAGAGGGAGGAGAGGACCTTCCTGGTGGGCAACCTGGAGATCCGCGAGCGGCGCCTCTTCAACCTGGACGTGCCCGAGGACCGCCGCTGCTTCGTCAAGGTCAGGGCCTACAGCAACGAGAAGTTCCACCCCTACGAGCAGCTGGAGGGGGTGGTGGTCAGCCTCATCAACCTGGAGCCGCGGCCCGGCTTCCCCAGCAACCCGCGGGCCTGGGGCCGCTTCGACAGCGCGGTCACGGGCCCCAACGGCGCCTGCCTGCCCGCCTTCTGCGACGCGCGGCGCCCCGACGCCTACGCGGCCCTGCTCACGGCCACGCTGGGCGGCGAGGAGCTGGAAGCCGTGCCCTCCAGCCCCACGCTCGACCCCGGCGCCGTGGGGGTGGCGCAGCCCTACCTGGCCAAGCTGGGCTACCGGCGCTCGGACCACGAGGACGCGGCGCTGAAGAAGACGGCGTTCCAGATCAACGTGGCCAAGCCCGACCCCGGCGACGCGGACGAGAGCAACGGCCCCGTCTACTCCTACCGGAGCCTGCGGCGGTGCGAGGAGGCGCCGGTGGGCGCCAACCACCTGCGCTTCTACCGCGTGGAGGTGGACAAGTACGAGTACAACGTGGTGCCCTTCAGCGAGAGCGACGTCGCCTCGTGGACCGGCGACTACCTGGCGTGGTGGCCCAACCCGCAGGAGTTCCGGGCGTGCTTCATCAAGGTGCGGCTGGAGGGGCCGCGGGAGTACATGGTGAGGTCGCGGAACGCCGGGGGCAGCCACCCCCGCACCCGGGGCCAGCTCTACGGGCTGCGGGACAGCCGGAGCGTGCGGGACCCGCTGCTGGACAACGCCTCGGCGGCCTGCGTGGAGTTCAAGTGCGGCGGGATGCTCTTCGACCAGAGCCTGGCCGACAGGACCCTGGTGTCCGTCGCGCCGCAGGGCAGCTGCCGCCGCACGGCCGTCAACGCGCTGCTGCGGGACTACCTGAGCCGCCACCCGCCGCTGGCCGACAACAACCACACCGGCGCCTTCTCCATGCTGGCCCCGCTGGACCCGCTGGGCCACAACTACGGCATCTACACCGTGACGGACCAGAGCCCGCGGCTGGCCAAGGAGATCGCCATCGGCCGCTGCTTCGCGGGCACCTCGGACGGCTTCTCCAGGGAGATGCGGGCGGGCGAGGGCACGGCCGTCACCTTCGAGTGCCAGGAGCGGCCGCCGGGCGGGGAGAGCCTCTTCCAGCGCCTGCTGAGCGCCCCGGCCGAGGCGCTGGCCGACATCCGCAGGGAGATGGGGCGCTCCGAGCTGCGCCGCGCTCCCCCCGAGGTGATGGACTTCGCCTCCGGAGCCCCCGGGCCCACCCGCCGGGCCCCCGGCGGCCAGCGGAGCCCGGCCCGGCCGCGGGGACGGCCCTGAGCCCCGTCCGCCCCCTCCCCGGCTCGGCTTTGTCGCCCCTTCCCCGTCGCTTTTGGCCGCGCTCATTTATAACGCCCGAAGGACCGGGGGGCACCGGGGGTCGGGGGCGGCGGGGGCGTGGGGAGGGGTCCCGCCGCCCCCCGGTGCTGTCGCTGCCTCCTCTGGGTGCTCAGCCCCGCGCTGGCGGTGCCGGAGGCGCCGCGGACGGGATCGAAACAAAAGGAATAAAAGAGGAGGTGGGAGCGAGCCGGGGACGGGGCGGGCATGGCAAGGGGGTCCCCGCCCGGTGCTTTGGCCGGTGCCACCGGCGGAGCCCTGGTGGGCCCGCGCCGGGAGCTGGCGGCGCTGATTTCAGCCCCGAATCCCACAAAACCGGGATTTTTCTGGGGAGGAAACCCCAAGGACAGCGCGGATAAAACTCCCTCCCTTGAGGTGCCACCCCCACCCACGCGGGGGCCGGTGCCACCCTCGCGGCACCGCGGCGGCCCGGACTCGGGCGGATTTGTACATTATTTATTACAAAATATACAATTCCTGTACACCCGTCTGGCTGCTGGGCTGCTCCGCGACGGGGGGACCCAGCCCCGCGTGTCCCCCGGTGTCCCTCGTGTATCCCCCGGTGTCCCCCGTGTATCCCCGGGTGTCCCCGCTGTCCCCGCTGTCCCTCGTGTATCCCCCGGTGTCCCCGCTGTCCTCGCTATCCCCGCTGTCCCCGCTGTCCCCAGCCCTGTCCCACTCTGTCCCCGCTGTGTCCCCCGCTGTCCCCCGCTGTCCCCGCTGTCCCCGGTGTCCCGCTGTCCCCGCTATCCCCGCTGTCCCCAGCCCTGTCCCCGGTGTCCCCGCTGTCCCCCGTGTATCCCCCGCTGTCCCCGCTGTCCCCAGCCCTGTCCCACTCTGTCCCCAGCCCTGTCCCACTCTGTCCCCGCTGTCCCCGGTGTCCCCGGTGTCCCCGCTGTCCCCAGCCCCGTCCCGGCCGCTCCTGTTCGCCTCGGGCCGGGCTCAGCCGGGCCGGCGGCCCCGGGCGGGGCGCGGTGCCAGCGGGACGTGGCAGACGGGCCCGGGGGACCCTCCGGTGCCCCCGGCGCCGCGGGCCGGGGCCACGGGCCGGGCACCCCCGCGGGGCGGCTCCGCGCTGCCCGGCCCCCCGGCTGTCCCCGGCGGGGATATTTTGGGTGTCCCCGCCCGCCGTCCCAGCCGGGGATGCTGTAATGGAACAGGCGGCGCTGGCGGGGCCGGGACAACATTTCCCTTCTCCAAGCCGCCCTGGCCGCGGCGCGGCATTTTTCCACCCTTTTTTCCACCTTTTTTTCCACCCTTTTTTCCACCCTTTCTCTGGCTGGATGCGGGATCAAAGGGGGCGCGGGGGGGCTCCTTGGCCCGAGCAGCGGCCGAATCCCGGCGCGGTCCCGGCGGGACGCGATCCCAGCGAAGGGAGGAGGCACCTGGAATGCTGAGATTCCACGGCGAGGTGTCATCCCAACCCCCCTCCCAAAATCTGGATGCTGCCCGTGCCCGGCTGCTCCCTGTCCTGGGCTGGCCCCAGCCTGGCTGTTGTTTTTCCCTGGGTTCTCCTTACCCTGCGTGATCCTTCTCCCGCATTTTCCTTACCCTGCGTGATCCTTAACCCGGATTCTCCTTATCCTGGATTTCCCTTATCCCAGATTCTCCTTATCCTGGATTTCCCCTATCCCAGATTCTCTTTTCCTGACTGCTGCCCGTTCCTGGGTGCTCCTTTTCCCTGGCTCCCGCCTGTCCCTGAATTTTCCTCATCCCTGCTTTATCCCCAGGAATTCCTTAGGTCTGGATTCTCCCTATTTCGGGCCGTGCTTTTCCCCGGATCCTGCTTTTCCCTGGGCTCCAGGAATTGTCCCCACCGGGTTCCACGGCCCCTCCCCAGGGACACGCGGGGGAAACTCGCGGTGGCAGCGGCCGGGACACCCCCGGGACACCCCCGGGACACCCCCGGGACACACCGGGGACACCCCGGGACACACCGGGGACAGTCCCGGGACACCCCCGGGACACCCCCGGGACACACCGGGACACACCGGGACACACCGGGACACACCGGGACACCCCGGGACACACCGGGGACACTCCCGGGACACCCCGGGACACACCGGGGACACTCCCGGGACACCCCCGGGACACACCGGGGACACCCCCGGGACACCGCGGGACACACCGGGGACACTCCCGGGACACCCCCGGGACACACCGGGGACACCGAGCCGTGGGATGCGGGATCCAGGGGGGATTTTTGCGGGGTTTGGGTGGAAAAGCCGCAATTTCCCCCGGCTTTTGTTGGAATGCGGGGTGGGGATGGAGCCGGGATGCCCCGAAGGGTCCCGGCCGCGGATTGGGGTGAGCCGGAGGCGGATTTAACCCTGCAGGGTCCGGGAGGCAGGAGCAGGGCTGGGAATATCCCGGCAGAGCGGAAAAACGGGATGAGAAAACCTCGGCTGCTTCTTCTCCCCATCCCGGCCCCGTTCCAAGCGGGGAAGGAACGGGAGCCCGGAGCCGGCAGCTCCCGGCCTGCCCCGGCAATTTGGGATGGCCGCATCCCAAAAAAAGATGGGAAGAGGATGTGCCAGCACGTCGGGATCTCGGAGCGGCTTTTTTGGGATATTCCCCCTCCCACAGCATCCCAAAAACCCCTGAAAACCCCACAGGGAAGCGGAACCGGGGAGGTTCGGGATTTATATGGAATTTTTTGGGGATTTTAAAAAATATTTTGGGATATTCCACCCCTTCCCTTCAGAAATAAGGAGCTGGAAAAGGCCCCTGGGAAGCCGCTTTTGGGTTTGTTTTTTTTATATTTCTTTGAAAGAATGGAAAATGTAATGACAGGGTCTGAATGAAAAGGACAAAAGGAAGCAGCTGGAAAGGCCCTAAATAGAGAAAAACCCACAAAAAACCCAAAAAAAAACCAAACCCAAAATACCCCAAGCTCCAATGAAACATATATTGTGCAATCAATATACTACAGTAGTTTCTGGGGAACTTTATATTCTGTACAACAGA